ATCAGAAGACGTCAACACCAAGGCACATCACAACGAAAAATGACAAACCCCAAGATACAGACACAACAGTAAAAGCAAGTTTTCCCATAAAGTAACAATTCGATAAACAGCCGACTCTTCTTTTGAAGAAAAGAGAAAATAGAAGGCAGAAAAGAGTGGAATGATCTCTTTGAAATGCTAAGGAAAGGAATTCTTGCCCTAAAATTCCATAATATCATTCAAAAGAGAGCACAAAATTTTTAGGCAAACAGAGACTGAAGGTTTACTAATGTCTCCTTACTGAATGATCCACTTAAAGATACACTTCATGAAGGGAACTGAATCCAGAAATAAGGGGTAGGGTACAAGAATCAACTGTTAGAAAAGAAAATGGTAAATACAGGAAAGAATCTCAATCAGGACTGCAAAAAAAAATGAAATTTAACATTAAAAAATTCAACAACACATTTTATAAAAATAGCTAACTTGGGAGCTCTGAAAACAAGATGAAAATAAAACACAAAGCAAATGGAAGCTCTTAAAGGTGTGACTGGAGTAAACATTTTCCAAGTTAGCTTGTACTCAGGGCAGAGACTTGGCTATGGCTGTTTTCCCAGCACCTGGAAGAGTGCCTGGCACATAGTAGGTAACTCAATAATTATTTGTTGGATGAACGATTAGCCTTCGAAACTTCGTCATTATTAAGTATGTGTTAACATTACAAAGGTAGCCACTAAGAGAATAAAAATAGGACGCAAAACTTCTAATCCAAAAGACAGAAAAGAAAGGGAATGAAGTATGACTTGACCTGGCTACCCTCCAGAGGCCCTGGTAGCAGGCACGCCAGTGAGCTGCAGAATCAGAGAGCCCTGGGTGGGCCACCGGCCTTGAGGTCCTCTGGTCCAACTCTCCCCAGGAGGCAGTGGGGGAACGTGGGCCAAAGAGCTGCCCACCCTGGGAAATCCAAAACCCCAGCCTCTGCCAGGAGGCCTGGAGAGGGGAAGGCACAAGCCCCAGCAAATCCCCCAGGGGTGCACTTTAACAAGAGAGAGGATTTGGAATGTCCCCGCCAGTGAAGGCTTCCTGGCAGGCGGCCAGCTTACTCAGGGCCCAACAAGCCAGGGCCCATTGAATGGAAGCAAACGCGAGTGTGACTCACATTACCATTCTCCTGGCCAGCTCTGCTGCCAGACACGAAGGTGTTTCAGACTCCCACACTCACTGCGTCCTGCCCTGACCGAAGAACTCAACCTGTGCTGCAACTCCAGGAAACAACGCAACTGGAATATGACTGGGGTCTGAATACCGGTATCGGAAATGATGCCCTGGAAGGAGAGCCAGCCCTCTGGGACAGGTCGCCGGGGAAGGCTGAAGGTGTCCTTGGCCTCCTTCTTGAAAACAACCTCCTCTTCTTGCCACAGACCATACTCTGGACCCATGGACCCTAGTATCATGGAGTTTCTTCATATGGAAATGGAGTAAAGCTTTTCACACCCACACCCCCACCCCAGAGTGCAGTCTCTTTGGGATCAGCTCTGTGACCAAGGCCACAAGCCGCTACAAGGAAAAGGAAGCCTCACTCACCTCCTCAGTGTCTCTTTCAAAAGGGCCAGCAAAGGGCCAGCCTGAGAGCCCACAGACCGCAGGCCCAGGCCTGGGCGGGTGCTGTGAGGCCGTGCTGGTCAGAGGGAGGCAGGACTTTTGGCATCTCTCTAACCAGGGGCGCTGGACACAGGATATACCCGACCTCTCCAAAAGTCTTCTCCGGAGGAAATTGTTTCTTTTAGCATAAAGCTTTCCTCTGATATCCTTAAATATACCCAACTGGGCCAGTGGTTCACTTTCTCCTCCGTGGCTTTTTTCTTTTTCTTTCCATACATATTTGTAGCACCTTTGGTGGATTCTTTTGTCTGTTTGTTTTTGGTGGGGAGGAAATTAGGTTTGTTTGTTTGTTTGTTTTAATGGCGGTACCAAGAATTGAACCCAGGACCTTGTGCACGCTAAGCATGCACTCTACCACTGAGCTATCCCCTCCCCCAACTGTGGCTGCCCATTTTTATGAAGAGTTGAGCAACCTAAAAGCTGGGACCACCCGATGTCTTCTTCTAAAGAAATTAAATGCCAACAGGTAGGTACATAAGATATTCAAATAAACAACCCTCCAGGCGAGGAAATATTCCTAAACACCACTTCAAACAAGCTCAGGTGAGGTCACTGTCAGGTTATTTTGGCCACGTTCTCAGGGGCTCTTCATCTCAGCACCTCAAAGCACTTCATACACATCAATCACCAGCTGGAGCAGCTGAGGGGGTGGAGTTGGGAAGGGTCTAATAACCACCTTGTTTTGCACTAGGGTACATGAGATAGACAGGGAACCTCCATCTCCTTCCCACCCACAGACCAGACCACACAACTTGTTGAGAGCCTGAAGGAGATCACAGGATCCCCGGTCTCCTTCCCCGCAGTCCCTCCATCCTTCCCTGGCACTCACATGAAAGTGGTTCCAAAAATGCGTAACCCCAGAGGGACAGCGCGCCCAGCCAGCCCAGGATCTGTTACAATGCACAGTGCTTTGTTCTTGTCCCCACGAGGGCACCATAAACCTAGGAACGCCCTGGTTTAAAACCTCTCACTTCACCTGTGAAGCAGGTCTGAGCCCTGGTCTGTTTGGGAACATACACCAGAGGAAGGAAAAGAAGCCAGAGTCTTCTGACCCCAATGACCTAATGGTCCTTGTCTGAATTCTTGGTTTGCTGGTGGGAGAGACCCGACGTTGGTCCCTCCACATGTACACTATCAACCTGAGGCCTTCACCGCCCTCCGCAACTTCCTTCTGTGGGGACTGGAAGTCTGGAGGCTGGAGCTCTGTCCACAAGGACATCAACAGTGACTGTCAAATGTCTTCCCCAAACCAAGTTCTTGCTCCTCAGCATAGACATTTCCCAAGGCTCGGTCCTTGATCCATTCCTTTCTCCCTGTGCCCTTCAGAATCTTACCCATTTCCAAAGTGTTGTCTGATTAACTAAAAATAATCAGAATTGCCAAAACAGTGAGCAACACACAACAGAATTTTATATCCACCATCTTGTTTCATCTTCCGAATAACTTTTAGAGGTAGGAATTACTCTTCTCCTGTTTCAGAGGCAGCACAACAAATGGTTAAGGGCATGGACTTGAACTAGAGAGCCTGGGTTCAAATCCCAGCTCAACTACTTCCTGTGAGTCACTGGCTCCATTACTTTGACATGTTGCCCAACCTCTCTGGGCATCAGCTTTTCCCTCTGTCAAATGGGGACAGGACTCCTGCTCAGGAGTACCTACCTCTAGGGTTGGTGGGCAAAATCAACAAGTTAATATCTGTACAGTGCTTAGAAGAGAGTTTGGTAGCACATAAGTGTTTGTTAAATCAATAAAATGGGGAATCTGAGGCTAGGAAGGTTAAGTGTCTAGTTCAAGAGGACATTATGCAGTAGCTCTCCAACTTGGTCCACGGCTTGTGTGACTACCTTTTGTCCATCCACTCACGACAGCAGTGAAGATGCCACCTGATGTGGCCTCACCCACATTCCAGACTTCTCACCCGCTCACCTGGTCATGTACCTTCTGCTGCAGCCCGCTGTGCTATGTGCTCCTATTGCCGACTTGCTCTGGCTTCTGCCTATCCTCGCTTCACAATACTCTCCCTGTTTGTGAGATGAATGAATACAGATTTGCAAAGTCTAAAATATGTTATTGATTGATTGGTCTAATAACTATACTGAAAGAGGGAAAGAAAGAAACAAGTAAGTGGGTGAGGGAAATTGAGGCTTGAGAGCAATACAAAAATATACAAAGTCACAACACTGGATTTGGCAATGATTTCTTGGGTATGACACCAAAGGCACAGGCAGAAAAAAAAAACAGACAAATTGGACTTCATGAAAATTTTTAAAATCTGTACATCCAAAGACCCCATGAACAAAAAGGGAAGAAAAAAAAGACTCCATGGACAGAGCAGAAAGGCAACCCACGGATTGGGAGAAAATAATTGCAAATCAGATATCCAATTTCTGATTCAGAGTTAATATTCGGAATATATTGAGAACTTCCTAAAATTCGACAACAGTAACAAACAACCCGTGTCCAAAAAAGATACACAAATGGCTAATAAGCACATGAGAAGATGCTCCCCATCATTAGGAAAAGCAAATTGAAACCACAATGCGATACCACCTCATACTCATTAGGATGGCTACTGTCCAAAACAAAAAACAAAACCCAGAAACTAAGAACAAGTGCTGGCGAGGATGTGGAAAAACTGGAACCCTTGTGCACTCTTGGTAGGAATGTAGAATGGTGCAGCCATTGTGGAAAACAATATGGCAGTTCCCCCCAAAATTAAATAGAATTGCCATATGATCCAGCAATTCTGCTTCTGGTTATATACCCAAAATATCCTAAAAGTAAGATATAAAGAAGATATTTTTACATTGTGTTCATAGTGGCATTATTCACAGTAGCCAGTGAGAAAGCAGCCCAAGTGTCCATTGACTGATGAATAGATAAGCAGACTATGGTATACCCATATAATAGAATATAATTCAGCCCTAAAAAGGAAGGAAATTCTGACATATGTTATAGCATGGATGAACCTTGAGAATATTATAGTAAGAGAAACAAGCCAGCCACATATTGTATAATTCCACTTATATGAGGTACTTAAAGAGTAGTCAAAATCACAGAGATGGGAAGTGGAATGGAGGTTGCCAGGACCTGGTGGGAGGGGAAAAGGGGAGTTGTTTAATGGGTTTAGGATTGCAAGACAGAGAGAGTTCTGGAGATGGATGGTGGTGATGACTGCACCACATGAATGTACTTAATACCACTGAACTGTGCACTTAAAAATGGCTCAGATGGTAAATTTTATGTTAGGTGTATTTTACAGCAATAAAAAAAGTTGGAAAAAATATACCAGGGTACCTTCTCTTTAACTCCTCTCCCCACGGGGTTTGGAGAGTCATGAAATGAAAGAAGTGCGTTACCTTCACGGAGTCTCGCCCACTGATGGAGTAGAGACGAGCCTCAGACAGCACGGATAGTAACCTCCTCTTGCAGCCAAAGAGGACATGCAGGCTCTTCCTGCTCTGGATTATTTCTCACCAGGAACTAGTCCGGCAGTGACTTTCAAGGTGAAAACCACTGGGGAAAGAAAAAAAAGATTCACCATGCTACACCATCCTCAGATTCCATGGTAAAGCAAAACTCAACTATTTTCTCCTCCAACTCCTCTGGTGCAGTTTTTGTTGTGCGTGTCGGAGAACGTGAGGAACACTCAGGACTCGGCCACGCTGGACTCTGAGCACGGACAGTCCGTTGAATTTTTCCAGTGGGCCACTGGCCTTGCTCCCAGGCCTCCCCCAGCAATACTGAAAGTGGCCATCATCACCCTCAGGTTTCCCGGTCAACACAGAAGGGGAGGCGCCAACCTCCCAGAAAATCCATAAACCACCAGCTGCAGTCATGATGAAGACAGCTCACTAGGAACAGTCTTAAGCCCCAACAGGAAAGCACTTGAGGAAAAGGGGGAGAGAGCAGGGGCAGGCTGATCACAGCTCTCTGGGGATGTCTTAGAGCCCTGAAGATCAGGCAGGATCTTCCGATAGAAATAGCCTTCCCAGCCACACACAAGACAGCGATCTTTCCTTTGCCAGAGGCTGGATACCCAGCTGGGACCATGTGACTCCCTTGGGTGGGAGAAGAGCAGAAATGCCAGCTTTCCCAGGGCAGGCTCAGGAAAGCTCCCCCTCCACCCCTGACACTGGCCTCTAGCCAGCCTGCCTGGAACTGGGATCTCAGCAGATCCCAGAGGCAGAACTGGGTTAGACCAGGTCAGACCCGCCCAGGGCTGTTCTAAGTCTACCTGATGCTTCTGCCAGAAGTGGCCATGGTGATTCACAGGGCAATTGGGCTGGTTAGGAACCCTTGCTCAGGCAGAGAGAAGCCAACGCCACTCCCCGGAGCTCCAGACTGGCTACTTGACATCCCCACTTGGATGTCATGGGCATCAACAAGCCTAAAGTGTCCAAAACCAGATTTCAAATCCTCTGCCTCTCAAAGGTGCTCTTCCCACGTTCTCTGCCTTGTGTTGTGGTACCTCCATCCTTCCAGGTACTCAGACCCTGAACTCTGGAGCCACACCCTGACTTCTCACTTTCTCTCACATCTCCTATCTGGTCTACTAGCAAATCTACTGGCTCTACTTTTGAAATGCATCTGGAATTCAACTACGTCTTACTATCTCTGCTACCATCCACTATGGTCCAGGCTACATTATGTCTTCTATTAAAATGCTTCCTCAGGAGTCTACCATTGTCCCCAACTCTCAACACAGCAGCAAGGGTAAGCCTGTTAAAACAGAGGTCAAAATACATGAACAAGACAGTGCTTTACTCAAAACCCTAAAAGGATTCCCATATCGCTCAGAATAAGCCCTGCAACTTCCTACATGATCTGGCTCCCTAGTACTGCTCCAATCTCATAGTAAAAATTACTCTTCACTCCCATTCCAACGATACCAACCTCCTCACTATTTCTCAAACACATCAAGCATGTGTCCACCTCAGGGCCTTTGCACTTGCTGTTTCCTGTGCCTAGAATGCTTTTCCCCCAGGTATCTTTGTAGGGCGCTCTCTCACTTTCTTCAGGTCTTTAAAAGTCACCTTTTCAGCAAGGCCTTCCCAATCCACACTACCTAACATTTTATATCCCTCTCTAATACTTCACAGCCCCATTCCCTTCTTTACTTTTTCTTCTTAGCACACATGTGTATACCTATTTATTTATCTTGGTAATGTCCTTCTCTCCCATAAAACTACAGGCTCCATGAGAGTGAGGAATTTTTGGTCTGTACATTTTGGGGTCAGCATCTAGAACAGTGCCTAGCAAACAGTAGGTGCCCATTACATGTGATAAATAAGTGAAAATGTGAATTAACAATAGGACACTGGACATTTTGGCCTACTAGGCATTTCTGGACTTCAGAGAATTATTTTTACAGATGTATCGCACAATTTTCACTATCCAGTCAATATCCATTCTCCCCTTTCCCCTATCAGCAGAACCCTGACTTGATGTAGGGCACCAAATGTGCCAAGAAAAATTAACTCGTTCACTTGCACAGAGCTTGGGTGGCCATGGGACCCAGTTCCAGTCACTAGAAGTCTACATGGTGACAGAAAGCTATCTGTTTCCTGATAAAAAGAGACAGACTCAGCTGTGGCTTCTGCCCTTTCTCTTGACTGGAACTCAGACCCAGTGCTTGAAGGTGAAGCAGCCATCTTTTGACCATGTGGCTGGGAGTCCCCATGAAATGCAGAACAGAAAGACTGAATCATCTACTGAGTTGTGAAGCCACTGTGCCCAGCCACGGCTAGTCAGCACCTTACTGGTTATGTCCTTGGAGTAGAGGCTCCTTTATATGCTGCAAAAGCAATCCTAACTTGATACATAGGTCGTTTTCCCCCCAAAATGTTGTTTGTTAATATTTGGATGTAAAACCCAGCAGTGTCGCCCTATCTGGTGTGGTCTAGGGTTTCCAAGCCAGTGAGAGAAGAGATGCGGAGAAAGGCACATTGTGCTTTGCGTGAGTATTATGGTGCAATCCAATTGCTGGTAAGGCTTGCTGCCACAGGGTCTCCACTTATCTACCCGTTCCCTTCTCCCATATACCCCTGTCCAACTCCCCTTGACCCCAAGGTGCAAACAACCCCATTACCCTGACTTGTTCACCCTTTTGCATGATACCTCGATACAGAATCAAAAATTCTAATCATCAGAGAGGTGACCCAGTAACAACGTCCCCTCCAAAAATGCACTAAAACCCAAGCTAATCCTTGGAAATGCCTCATTCTGGACAGGCAAGTTTTAGAAATTGGTGGGGTTTTATCTTCCTAAGCCATCAACACTCTTCGTTTCAGACCTTCAGACAAAAATTCATGAAAATCTATCACATATTCTTCTATCTTTTAAAATAAAGTACACAAAACATAATGATTTTCATGATGACTCAAGGTCAGTGAATACCAAGATAAACAGAAGTCTGACCTCAGAGAGCAATGTTAATGTAACTGCTGGCTTTAGAAACCTTGGGGGAAGACTGTTAAGCTCCCAGTCAGTCAGCTGGTGGGTCAGCCCTGTGAGCCTTTGTTAGGTGATCTGAACACAGCGATGCCCTCAAGTTGAATAAGGGTAATATTATTTCCTCTTACACCGCATGTGCCTGGCATATTCTGTTTCCTTTTGAAACTTCCTCTGCAACTTGTTTCCACCTTTGCTGCCCCTTTCCCTGTACAGAGTATACTTACCTGTAGTTTCCCCTGTCAAGCTCATAAAAGGTCTCGGTAAAGTAGGAGTTGATACGCTGAGGGAGGGTGTCAGTGCAAAGATCTCCAGGTATGTAAGGCTTCTGGCAGACGGATGTCATTTCCTCCTGCACCCTGGGGCAGGACTGATTTTCTACTTCTCAGCACCTTGCCAGGTAAGTGACAGGCTAACTGTATTTATACGGCTCAGGTAAGTAACTGTGGCATGCTCCAGGAAGACAAGGATCCTTGAAACAGCTCAGAGAGCTCTCCATCTACCTTTGATATTTTTTAAAGCAGTAAGAGGGAAACTTGAATTTAAAAGCAAGATTGTTGAGTCCTGCCGGATTTCATATCACCAGAAAGCCAACTACATAAGCGCAGGCAAATATGTTTTATATTGAAGGACTGACTTTAGAATTTTCCAAAAGGCTAAGTCTAGAAAATACGAATTTCTTGAAGAGACTCTATTTGCAGAAGATATTTGCACAGGCCTGCAAGGTAACAAGGTACAGTATTACTATTTCTTGGCTATCTTACTTCCCTCTTATTTTTATTTCCTCTGTAATTATCGTATCGCACATAAGTCAGACATTCTTAAACTCCGGGTGGCAGTTACTGTCTGTAGACCAAATAAATGACGTCATGCACATCCGTGAACTATTATTCTTCAGACGTCTATATGTGCCATTATGGTCAATAAAATTTAGATTTACTTCTTATACTCTTATTGAATCACAGCTACTTTTTGCAATTAAGCATTTCCCTCGACTGAAACGATCCTGAAAGGGCAGGTGGACCCACAGAGCCTGGCAGAGCGTGGCAACCACTACCATGAGCCCAGGCCACCTACCCCCTGATGGACACTTATATGAATAATGTCCAGCTTAAGGTCCAGCTTAGGAACAAAATTTTCAGGAAACCTTTCTGGAACATTCCATCTCCACAGTGACCCTTACCACCCCTTATATCTGCAGCTTTTTTTTTTTATATTATAGTTATCTTTTCAGATACGTGTGTTTTGGCACAAGTTTTCATTTTGCGTAAGGATGTTTTCCCCTCTAGATGGCTTCTAAATTCTTCCTCAGTTTTTCCTTTGAATTCCAACAGTACTTTGCACGTGGGAGAAAATAAATACCTTCTATGTACCCTGCTCCTTAATATCTACTTCAATCTGATGTTCAACAGAAAACATATTTTCTGGAATCTTGACGGAACTTAGGTTTGAATTTCATGTGACTGTGTGCTTGCCTCCTACCTCTCTGAGTCTCAGTTTCTCCAAGGAATGAGAGTGAAATTAACTTACTTCATGACTATCAAGAGAAGTGTCTGAAGGAATGTGCGTGAAATGTGCGTGACAGCAGACTGGCTGTCAGAAGATAAACTCCAAAATATTTAAGAAAGTTATTGAAGACATGAAAAGAAAACTTCATTCTTTTTTTTCCCCTTCAAATTTTAATTAAAACCAAGAGGTTTCATTTGAGCACTTAGGTGGATCAGACAGAGCACGGAAAGGATGCACTGGAAGAGACTGTAAAATGGAAGCATCTCTGACTCCATTTGGGGCTCAGGGCCCTGCTCAGTCACTGCAGAAAAGTGTTCAGCTCATTGGCTGCGGCAACCAAGAAGGCAGGTGCTGGAGCCAAGTCATGGTCGCAGGCACCCAGGTGACCGGCTGACGGAGAGACGTGTGATACTAATGGACCTCTATCTGTGATGAGAGGGACTATGTTCCATGTCCACAAGCCCTACCCTGAAAGAGCAAATCTCATCTTTTAAAGCTCAAGAGAGAATTGATATGGCTGGGAGGGTCTGAAAATGTCCCATCAGAAGACTTTG